CTTTAAACATAGATGCTATCTAAAAATCACAGGTTAAGGTGCAAATCTACCCCCAAGTATTGCACGAGAGGTGTTGGTAACCTAAACTAAGGAAAAGGGCTATGTTGCCTCCAATTTTTTAAAAATAGAGCAATGTTGCCCAATTTTAATTAACATACTTAAATGATTGACTGTTAGTTGATCGGACTCTTCCTATGTGGCATGCCTTTGTGGAATCCACCTCACCTTGGGTAAGGTGCAAATCTGAACCCAAAATATGTATGGCGCTAAGAATGTCTAATATTCTTAACTCACAAAAACGCCAATGTTTGCCTCAATCTTATTAGCCAAAGTGATCTATATTTTCTGTTATAATGAGTGTCGCACTCGGATTGTGACTCTACCTAGAAAGGGAAATCAATAAATGTAGGAGCCACCACCAAAATTTTAAAAGGATAATTTTAAAAATCTTTTAAAAAATGAAATGGTTTACAATAACTAGAATAAGGTTCGAGAGTTGATTGTACATGGAAAGATGTTAGGAACCCCACATCACCCATCTATGAGGACAATTTACCTTAAGTTGATTAAACAAAATTAATATGGCCTTAAATGAAATTTAATTACCCTTAATTAATAAAACAATAAAAATGAAATAAGAAGAACATTGAAATTATATCAAGAAAAATATTATTTATTTGCATATTGGACTTAACCTAAGATAAAACCTTAGAGCTTACATACCTTTTAAAGGGATTAAAACTTACATAGTTTGAGGGTAAAAATGCATGTCACTTTGTTGGTGACTATTGGAGGAAAGATACTTTTTGTTTATCTAAGAAAACTATTTTCATGTTGAGTAGGTGTTTTTTATTTTTAAAAATAATTTTTTATTCTTTTAAAACAAATTCAATTAATATTCTTGCAGAAACTCTAAAAATCTCACATAGTTTATTAATCATGTTTTTGCATGCAAAGATTCTAAAAACCTCACACCACATAAAAACCCTTTCACTTTTATAAAAGAAAACCTTTTTATTTTTATTTAAAAAAATGGGTTCAACCTAGCCTACAAGAAAATCTGCGTACCTGAAAGAGATAGCATCTATCAAATTCAAATAGAAATCTTAGCATTGGAATGGCTCCACCTCTATCTTTTCTCACGTGTTTCTTTTTTTTAATATGGTGAGATGTTTAAATACCAATAGTGGGAAGCATTGCTGCAACAGGGAATAACTATGTCAATAGCTAATGATGGTGCTATTTGGGAAAGAAAATGGAGAAGATCAAACCACACGAGCAAAATGAAACATATTGAATAATGGTATATGAGAGAAAAGGCAAAGTAAACAAGGTGAAACCAAATGACACAAATAATTAGTTGGATAAATAAATAGATCCCACACCCTTCACCTATCAATATTGAGATTCACATAAATGAACATATAGGCCTTCATGAGGGCATCTTGGAATAATAATGAATGGGATTTAAAAGAGAAGCAAGATGAAGAAAATCGAGTGTCCAAATTCACCCTATTTGGGACACTCCTACCTATTCCTATGCCTATATGTTGTCATGAGAAGAGATTATCAGAATAGATAAAAATCTCTACCTTTCAAATAAACTCTCACCTTTTTTTCTCAAGCTTCTTTTTCTTTTTCCCCTCTCCCCTCCACCTGATCCATCACCTTTCTTTGTGAATGCCCCATTAGGGCTTGCATCTTTAATGGTTAAATTCCATCAAATTACAATTTATGATTAATTTTATTTGACTTTTATCATTTCCAATCAAGGCATAAATTTGGGGACTGGATTTTTATTTGACTTTCTCTAATTAAAGACCCATATTAAGCACAAATTTGGGAATCTTATCATTTAATTTTTTTATTAATTTCATTTTTTATTATTTTATTAAAAAAGCTTTTCAATTTTTTTATTTATTCATTTATTTTTGACCAAATGGGGCATTCGCAATAAGCTAATTAGAGTGGCAAGTTCATTAGAGTTTAAATACTGTCTAATGTTGTATCAAAAGAAATACCGTATGAAACTAAATTATTTCTTTAATTAATAGATTACAACAAACGAAAAAATTCGTCATATATCTTTGTAGATAAATTTATTATTACATGTCATGACCAAAAAAAAATGTATTATTACATCTATGCATATCACTTGAAATTAAGATAGATGAAAACCATTGGCCCCCAAAGATGAGATTACAATTGATATTGGGATCATTATTGGCATCATTATTTGCTCACGCAATATTATTTCTGGCTTGTTACATTTGTGGGTGCTCAAATCAGTGTACCAGCAACACACAGCCATTGACCAACAAAGATGAGATTACAGTTTACGTTGGGATTGTTATGAAAGAAGTGACCTTCATCCTAATCGAACCTTTGGGCAATTGAGAAGCAAGTTTCACCTTGTTCCACTCCATGAATGGAGTTACATGCTGGGCTTGCAACTGCCAAAATTATCTTATTTTCATACAAGTTTAGAGCTCATCAAATTTACACAGTCATGCACCATTCATTTTTTTAATCTCAGCTTAATGTTTCTATACAATGATTAAGAAATATAATTAATATGTTAAAATTTTTTTCTGAGAAAATGAAACTTTTAGTCCCTCAAGTTTATCTCAGCGATCAATTTAATCCCTGAAATTTAATTTTTATTCATTTGGATTTTAAAATTTGTCTCAGTTGTGAATTTGGTTCTTACTATTTAAATAGAAAAGGTAACAGTATTAAAATCCACTGACATGGGTAAGGCAATATTAATTGCAGTCATGTAGATTAATAAAAAAATGTGTAATTATTTAGTTCAGAAAAAACAATAGACTCAAAAAAAATTTACAAAAAAAAAAAAACACAATTGTAAGATTGCTAAAAAAATTAAACTGATTTGAGGGTCATTTTGTTTTTATTTAGCTACTTATAAATGTAAAATCATCAATATATTTTACACATTAGATTAATTCGAGAGTCAAATTGTGTTTTAAAATTTAAATGATTAACATGATAATTTAAGAAAATATAAAAAATCAAATTGATACAAATTAAACTTGAATGACCAAATTAATAATTGAACCAAATTTGAGGGATTGAAAGTTTCATTATCTTTTTTTTTTTAACTTCATCCTAATATATATGTGTGTGTGAGCGTGCCCGTGCCAATAAAAACAAAAGTAAAATTGAAAAAAAAAATAGTAATCAACATTGTCATGGACTTCTAAAATGACAGGTAAATATAATTTAAAAAAAAAAACAACAGATAAAAAGAAACTGTAGGAGTGTATATACACCAAAGGCAATACTAATTCTACCACACTAATAACTAAATGTATATTGCACGAATCGCACAATGCACTGTTTGCATAAATTAATCTTTACTTACCATTTGGTGTTGGCCTGCTCTCAGTAAAGAGTAACATGGCAAAAGGGAATGAGAAAAACAAACGGCTGATGATTTGAGTAGACTTAGCCATTTTAATTTTTTCACCAAACTCACTTCTTCATCAGGTATTGGTAATATCATTTACATTGTTTAGCAGTCGGCACAAGAATCAAGAAAAACTTAAATAGGCCATGTACACCATGTCATTTTTGGTTTGTCTAATAAAAATATAACATTTAAATAATATTAAATATAAATTAATTGTGATATTAATGATAGCAGAGATAAAAATTAAAAAATTAAATGTGCATTCTGTTATAAAAATAAAATTAATTAAAAAAATATCACACAAAATTTTATTTAAATTATTTAAATTATTTTAATTAAATAAATTATGGATGATGTGGTATATTCAATTTAGCTAAATATTATCCCTCCCTCCCTCCCTCCCTCCCCGCCAAGGTTTAAAGACCCAGACTGACCCAGACGGTCGGACCAGTCAGACCATCGCCCGTTGAAGAAAGCGGGCTGGGTCAACCAATTAACCTGTATTAGCGATTGACCTGAGTTGGCTCGTCTGGAACTAGACGGGTTTTATAAACTCGAAAAAGAATCGAAACCCAGAGCGGTTTGAATGGGTTAGAAGCGGGTCAAAGGAGGGGCAAAATTGGTATTTTAAAAATAAAAAAAACCCTTATCAGATCACTATCGGCTATTGGGTTCTCGCCTGGCTGGACAATCAGATTCAGATTTCACTTTTAGCCATTAACGCCTACAGTCACGCAGCCTCGCTCGCTCACCGTCGTAGCTAGACTCAGAAGTCAAAAAGAAATTAGGCATCAGCGTTTCACGGTCTCGGTCTCAGTCTCAATCTTCTCTTCTCTGTTCTCTCTCTATCTTGCTCGGTGGCCGGAGGGTTTTGCCGTTTTGGTCAGTCATCGACTCATCGCACATCGCCTCCTTAAATCTCGGCCGTCCGGGTTCGTTTCTGTGGGTCTTTGCCGTTCAACCAGTCAGCCATCTAGGACTTCTTTCTTCGTCTTCTTCACTATTTCTGTGGGAGTGTGGGTCTCTTCTCTATTCTCTCTCTGTCTCGCATCTCTCCTTCCCATCCATTTGGGTTTTGCTTTCGGCTTTTTGGTTGACTCTTGCCTAGGCGTGCAACTGTGGGAGACACCGAGACAATTAGACTCTTCCCTCTTTGTGCATTCACATCAAGACAGTTAGACACTCAGCATCCTTCATTCTTCATCTTCTTCATTGATCGCTGATCGCTCTCTCTCTCTCTCTCAGTCCTGGTGAGCTCCCTCATCTATCTCTCTGCCCAATTTAATCTAATGCCATGGTTTTGAATAGCAAATTAGCAATGAATAAATGCTGATGGATGAACATTTTTTTTATTGTCTGTGCTGTTTATTTTCTGAGTTCTGAATCATTCGAGACTCCTGTACTGTGTTGTTTGCTCTGTGATTTATCTATGGACATGGTTATAATTATATTCATATTGTCCTAATTGATTTGAGACTCAAGAGTTGTTTATTGACAAAATAGGAAGGCTATATTCATATTGTCTGTCTGCTTTTAATTTGTTAATTTACTTGCTTAGGTGTAGAAAATGTCATCATCTGATCATGCATCTACTGCTGCATCTACTCAATCTATTAGAGCTAAATTAGATCCTACATGGGAGCATTGCACTCAAATACCAAACAAAAAGGAAGGTGGCAAATCTCGCTTAAAATGCTTATATTGTGCAAAGGAATTTGCTGGTGGGGGAATTAATAGAATGAAACAGCATCTTGCTGGGAAAAGAGGAGATGCCATTAGTTGTAAAAATGTGCCTCGTGATATTCGCTTTCGATTAGAGGAAAATTTGAAAGAGATTGAGGGAAAGAGAACAAAAAAACAAGATTACCCAACAAAAACAGAGGATAGTCTATTTAGGGGGAATGATTCAAATATGGAAGAAATGGCTCCTCCACAATCTCAAGAAAGGGTGATTGAAGCAAATGTTCCAAGTTCTTCTCAATTAAGAAAAAGGAAGGCATCTGAATCTTTAGAGAAGTTCTATGCCCAAGGACAATCCCGGGTGCACAACCAGAATAAGAAGTGCATTTGTAGGTAAAGAAGCTTTGCATAGAGCTAATTTAGCTATTATATGATTGTTGTATTCCAATAAATGCTGTGAATTCCATTTACTACCAACCTATGGTAGATGCTATTGCTGCTATTGGTCCTGATTATAAAGTCCCAAATTATCATGCTGTGAGAAGTAAAATATTGCAAGATATGAAGAAAGAGGTTCAGTTACTAGTTGATGAATGTAGAAGTTTTTGGGCTGAAACTGGTTGTACTATAATGGCGGATGATTGGCAAGATCAAAAAAATAGGCAGTTGATTAATTTTCTTATTTATTGTCCTAGAAGAATTGTTTTTATTAAATCTGTTGATGCTTCAGATATAGTTAAGGATGCTCAAAATCTTTGCAATTTATTCATGGACATGGTTGCATTTGCTGGTGCGAATAATATTGTTAATCTAGTAACTGATAATGCAGCTAATTATAAAGCTGCTGGGAGATTATTAAATGACAAGTACCCTTCTATTTTCTGGTCTTCTTGTGCTGCCCATTGCTTAAATTTGATTTTGGCAGACATAGGTAAGATGGAGATCAGCACGTGCATCTATGGTTTCAAAATTCATATATAACCATGCATTTTGCTAGCTTGGTTGAGGAAAAGAGAGGGTTGGGTAGAAATTATTCACCTAGGGGCCACACGGTTTGCCACTACTTTCATTGCTTTGAAGAGTATCTATAAGCACAAGCATGATATATAAGCCTTAATAACTAGTAAGGCATTTATGAACTCTAAATACTCTAAGGATCGAAAGGTTAAGGATGTGACAATAATTGTGTTGGACAATAAATTTTGGAATGACTGTAAAATTGTTGTTGAAATTATAAAACCACTCATCTGATTGTTGAGAATTGTTGATTCTGATGATAGGCCATCACTTGGGTATGTCTATGATGGTATGTATAGGGCAAGGAAAGCTATAAAGAATACTTTTCTGAAGAAAAAATATTTGTACAAGCCCTACACAAGGATTATTAAGAGAAGGTGGGATTCTCAGCTCCGACAAAATCTTCATGTAGCTGCTTATGTCTTTAATCCTGCCTTTCTTTATGATAAAGCAAACTTTTCTCAAAAGCCAGAGGTTATGCAAGGATATCTTACTGTTATAGATAAGAAAGTCTCTTCTAATAAGATCAAGTTCTTGCAAGAAGGCACATAATATCAGGAAAAGAGTGGTAGCTTCAGTCATCCATTGGCTATTGAATCTGCAAAATCAATGCGACTTGGTAAAGTAAAGATTTATATATTTATCTTTCATATTTATTATCTTGCAACTTTATCTGTAAAATCTCTTCTACTAACTTTATCTTTAATATGACAGATGAATGGTGGTGATATTTTGGAAGTAGTTGTCCAAATGTTAAAAACTTAGCCATTAAATTGTTAAGTTAAACTGCATCTTCATCAGATTGTGAAAGGAATTGGAGTGTCTTTGAAAGAATACACTCTAAGAAAAGGAATAGATTAGAGCATCAAAGGTTGAATAGTTGAATGATCTTGTATATGTTCATTACAATTTTCGCTTAAAGAATAGGTATATTATTTAAAGCTTTGTGTTTATTTGTATTCATAAAGATTGGATGAATGAATTCTTATAGTTTGCTATTGTCATGTGTATTTTAGAGTTGCTAACAAGAGAAAAGCAACTGATCCTATTGATTTTGAAAGTATTGATAAAATTGAGTATTGGGTAATGGAAAAAGATGATCCTTCTTTACTTCATGCTGATGAGATAGAAGGAGATCTCCTTTATGATGAGCAAGCACTACCAAGAGCTATTATTTCGTAGCAGGAAGAGGAAGGTTTGAATTTAAATTTTCTTGAGAGCTTTATTACATGCTGTCACTTTTATTATATTGCTCTTAATAATGCTTTAATCTGGTTTGATTACTTTGATGTATTTGTTTATGAAGATGATCAACAAAGAGTAAATGTGGTAGAGGGTGAAGGGATTGATTTAGGATCATTTAGTCAGGAAGATGATGATAGTTACAACTCAGATGTTGATGCTTTCGAGCCTAACCATGCTTGGATTAATCAAGTGGATTGACAAAGATCTGCCAATATCTTTGACAAGTAATGAAATTATTAGTTATCTTATAATGTTTGGCTTGTGGATTGTAGATTGTTGTACTTGTGAACTTGTTGCATTATGTTAATGACTTGACCAAAACATATTATGGTGTTTTTGTTGTATTAATGACTTAGGTGTTTTGAGAGACTTAGGTGGTGGTATATTTTTGCTAGCTTGTTGTATTAAAGACTTGGGTGGTGTTTTATATATATATATATATATATATGTTATTTTTTGTTTAATTATTAGGTCACCGGTCCGACCGTCGGTCCGACCGGTTGAACCATGAGACCCGTGACCCACTGACATTTCCAGTTCGCTGTCCGGTCCGGGTTTTAAAACATTTCTCCCCACACACGCTAAACAAGCTTCTTTTCTTAGAAGTGATTTTGACTTTATCTCATATCTCATTTGACAAAAGATTCTGTACTCGAGAAGATTGTACCATTCCCACTCTCACCCACAGAGCTTGTCATGGTAAGTACAGACACACAAAAAAGTAAGGACCTGTTTGTTTTTCAATTTGATTTTTTTGTTTTTAAGAACAAAAAAATATAAAAATTTATTTGAAGAAGTGCTTTCAATTTATTTATTTCCAAAACTATTTTTTAAAATAAAAATAATTTTAAATTGTTTTCATTTTAAATTTATTGTTTTAAAATACACTACATTTGATTATTGAAAATTACAATTATTCTGATCAATTTCTATCATAAATTGTTACATTAACCACCTATAACCATCACTATTATTTTTTTTTAATTCTAAAACTATTTTTAAATTAACACAATGATTTTTATTTTTTTTTGTTTTTAAAAAACAATTCTGAAATAGGGAACAGTTAAAAAATAAGCCTCATTCTGGTAATCACAATTTGCTTCGAGGTAGGATCCGTGGAAGATACATAGGAAGATCAACGGCAATGATATCACCATCACTACTTGCATCCTCGCTGCTGATCACTCTCTATTGCCACCTCGTAGTCGTCACCAAATTTCCCCACCGTATTCACACTTCTAGAATATGAAAAGGGAAGTCGAGAAGCAATGAGAGCAAGGGGAAAGAGAGGAAGACTATAACAAAGCTGGAGAGCTCGATGAGGCTAGCGATAATTGATGGCTCTGCAAGTGCAAAATAGAGAGGTTAGGTTTGTGATAAATTTGACAATCTGACATGAAAAAAATCATGGGTTAATGATCTAATTTGACGTGAAGGAAAACAAAAAATCAAGGGCCAACGATATAATTTACTTCTTTTTTCTTTTTCTTTTTTCTTTTTTTTTTAGGAGTGATGGTACCTTGTAATGAATTATGGGGCAATATTTTTCTAAAATAATATTTTTTTAGGGGCATCGCCCCTTCGTCAAATTTTCATTGATTTAACCACTAGTTGACTTAAAAAATTAGATCTCAAAAATTAATACTAATTAAGTTCATCAATAAATAAATTCTAATAGATTAATTTTATTTCTTAACTATATAAAATATGAAAATATCATTTTAATCAACCACTTTAATTTGATCGACTACCAGTGATTATCAAAATTTACAGGTGATTTATAAATTAAAATGGTATGATAAATTATAAGACTTCTTTCAATTAACAAATCCTCCTTCAAAAATTTATATGTCATAAAAGTTGACTTATAGATTATATGTGAAGATTTGTAAATAATAATAATGTTTAAATTATCAAACACTAAAGTATTAATAATTTTTATAAGATGTTATTTAAAAAAATTAATATTTTTAATTACGTATTCGTATTGCTGTTAGCAATGTTGCAATGGTAATCTGATAATCACCCAGTTTTTTATATTATAATTTAAGTGACTTAATGTAACGAACTGGCCTACGACTGAATGGATTGGGTTACAAGGAAACAATTAATGGACCAAGAGGTAGAGATGTTGGGCTTAGGACTGGAGGGGATTGAGTATATGAGACGAAAGGGCTTAGAAGAGGAGGCATGTTTGGACTATGAAGAACTTTTCTCTCTGTACTTCTCTGCTTGTAATTCTTCTTCTTCCTATACCACTGTCGCTCTATTTTCAGCAATTGCTTTTCTGTCATTTTCATTCGTAATATTCACTGCTTATCTTTCCATTGTATTGAGCTATATGTTTAACTATACGTTAAAAGCCATAGAAATATAAACAATACTGCAGTGAACCATTAAACCTCACATGTTTGTGCTGGATTGAATTTGTTGTTTGTTCTGGAACACTACAAAGGTGCTTTCATTTATCCTCCTGCACTACGGTAATGGATGATACCACTAAACTTAATGCTCTTTTGTTCAAGATTAGGCAGACCCAAGAGAGGATGGAAAATTGCTTTCGTCGTCCCCCAGATTTCTCGCGCCTTGATTGTATCAAGGCTGAAATGGCCGTTATCACTCATCAATTTAGAGCACCATGCTCAGATTCTACCATGGAAGTTATCGCCCATACTACTCCACATTCCACTGACTCTGACGAGAGTATTGCCATTGCCCCTGTGGAGCTTCCAGTGGGTGTTGGAAAAATGGATTCGCCTATGATCAACAGCCCCGTGTTAGTGGAGGAGAACTTGATTTCTTCCAATCTTATGGTTGCAAACACCATTGTTGAAGCATCTTCTACATCACCGATTCGTGAAGCCAAGTTACCCAATGTCAATAATTCTACCAGCCAGACTTCTTCATTCGTGGTTATTACAAATGGTTGTCCACGGGATGAGTTGTTCGATTCCAATACTTTGACTCTCACCTCAACGCCCTTGGCAAATTCTTGGGTGCTTCCAACCTCTATGGTACCATCTCTTCCTTTTTCTATAAGCTCCACTCAGTTTCTCTGTGTTGATATTGTCCCAGATTTGAATATGTAACCAATAACAATGGGGACGTTTGATGGGTTTCAAACATTAGCTTCATTATTCACTAGTACTACAAGCGTCTTGGCTTTTCCAGAAGACTCTTCATTGGTTTAGGTTTTCTTGGCTATTACTCTGTTGTTTACAGAGGGTGTTGGTTTGGATCTGATTTTGGTCTTTGACCTAGGTGTGTCCCTACTCTTTGACCTCCAGGACAAGGTCAATTTCTGTGGGGGATATAATATAATGAATGAGCTTAGTTTTATTGAAGGCTTGGACTATGAGAGAAGAATTATTGGGCTTGAAGTTATGTGTCTATAGTTATTATGGCTGTTATGCTTGTTATGTATCTATTGTTCACTCCAAGTTTTTGAGTTTTTTCAATTTGGAAGAAATTCACATGTCCTTCTTGAATGTGCCTCGAGTTAAGAATCTTATGTTAAATCTAATATCTTAATTCATATATGATCTAATAAGATAGAATAAAGTAATATGTGTGTGCTTGAAGAATCTATTGATCGCTTGAGATAGCTCGATTACCTCGAGTGTAGACAAATGCACAACCCATTGGATGCCAAAGCCTTTAAAAAATGTAGAGATAATGGAATAGAAGAAAATGTATTATGTGTTTAGTGGTTATTGACTGATCGACTTATAAGGATCAGATTAGTAACTGCTTTATTAAAATAATTAAATAATTATATTCCATTATCTCTGACTCAGTTAGTTAAGAGATAGGGAATAATTGACGGATATTGGATTGTGAGTTGGGCCTTTACCCATTAGGCTCACTTGTGTGGTCCACCTATCATGGTCCACACAAGATCATAAAGACCAATCTTTTGGGTTTATTAATTAATGTCAATCCATAAATAAATATTCCAACAATCCCACTTGAATTGCATTAATTAAGCAAGTTCTATAAACAAGCCACAAACAAAATTCAGAAAATGAAACTTCACAAAATTACTGGATCCTATAGGGAAACAAGTGACATGCATAGCGTACCATAACAGAATCATTGAATCTTATGGGGATACAAATGATACAGACATATCTAACTAAACAGAACATAACTCACAGAAGAAAACAAAGCCTAAAGAGAAATTGAAATACAAAAGATTTTCAGACTCCCACTAAATTAGGGCATCAAAAGAATTCACAACACCCATACAAGTTACATAATTTTAGAAAAATTTTACAGGTAAGCCTTAGTCAATGGACCTACAAGCATCTGTGTGCCAAGAATGTGTACCACAAGAGTCTGAGATTTAGTAATTTTCTCTTTCACAAAAATAAGTTTAATATCAAAATGCTTTGCAGGACTAGAATTTTTGTGGTTATTAGCATAGTATACTGCATATTTATTATCACAGTAAATGGTTGGAGGACGTGATATTGACTCAACTAAGCGCATGCCAAATATCAACTTCCTCAGCCATATAGCTTGATGCATAGTCTCAAAACAAGGAATATACTCAGCTTCCATAGATAAAATTGTTGTAAGTGTCTATTTCACACTTTTCCAAGAAATAGCTCCTCCAAACAACATGAAAATGTAGCCAGTCGTAGACCTACAATCATTCAAACAGGAAGCAAAATTTGAATCTAAAAAGCCAACAATTTTAAGATCTTCTGATCTCTTAAAGTCATAATCAAAATACCCAACAACCTTAAGAGAATTTAACCTTCTATAAGTCAACATATAATTTTTTGTACCTTAAAGATACCTCATAACTTTCTTAGCAGCTTTCAATGATCCGAACCTAGATCATTTAAGTATTGACCTAGTACTCCAATAGCAAAGGCTATATGTGGTCGAGTACACACTTGAATGTATATAAGGCTGCCATAGTAGAAGCGTATTGTATCTTTTTCATTTTAATCCTCTTCTTATCATCTTTAAGACATTGTAACTTTGACAATAGTTCACCTTTTTATACAAGAGCAAGTGAGTGAGAACATGAATCCATTCTAAATTTCTTAAGTACCCGCTCAATATAGGTAGTCTATGATAAACTAAGAATACCGTGAGATCGATCTTAATAAATCTGTATCCTAAGAATAAGGAGGCTTTACCCACGTCCTTCATGTCAAAATGGCTAGACAATAGGTGTTTTATCT